CCTCCTCCTCCTCCTCCCCTCCTCCTCCTCCTTCTCCTCCTCCTCCTCCTCCTCCTCCTCCTCCTCCGCCCTCCCCCTCCTTCCTCCTACTCCTCTCCCTCCTCCTCCTCCTCCTCCTCCGCCCCTCCTCCTCCTCCTCCTCCTCCTCCTCCTAGCTCTCCTCCTCCTCCTCCTCCTCCTCTCCTCCTCCTCCTCCTCCTCTACTACTCCTTTCTCCTCCTCCTCACCCTCCTCCTCCTCCTCCTCCTCCTCCTCCTCCTCACCGTCCTTCTCCCTTCTCACCTCCTCCGCCTTCTCGCCCTATGGCCCAGAGTCCAGCAAGCATGAGGTGCAATCCCACGTTCGGGCGGCCTGCTTATGCTCAGGGGGGTGGCTCTGCTCAGGGAGCCTGAAGCACCGCTCAACGATCCGAGCCGTAGGGTGGGCCCTTTCCCAAATCCGTGCTTCGGTGCGGATCGGCGGCGCGCCTCGTCTCCGTCGTTGTCGACGTCGTCATCGTCGTCTTGGTCGTGGTGCGTGTTGCTCTGTTCGGAACTTGCTTCCCGTATGCAGTGACCACCACCCACCACCCTCTTCCTTATCCTCCCCCTTCTCCCTCCCCCCTCCTCCCTTCCCTCCTCGCTCCTCCCTCCCTCCTCTTTCCCCGCTGCTCCCCCAGGAAGGCCCGACAATAGCAGCACTTACGATGCTCCAACCTACAGTAGCTTCGATCACCAGAAAGAATTTCGAGCGCCATGCACGCACCGAAACTGGAGGGTTTTAACGTGTCGGGCCCTGGGAGGCGACACTCGTTCGAAACTTCGCACGCGTGTCGGGTAGACACTGTTTTGATATTTTTCTGTGTGCTCGAAATTATGTATGCGATGAGGTCCTTAAGTACGACGGGAACAACATAAACCAACACCAGTGATTTCCTTCCAGGTTTTTGAAGGATGTTGGAATGTGCTTCAAAACGGCACTCCGACGGCCCAAGAAGGCCCCAATATTGCCCCAAGATCGTCCAAGAGTCCGCCAAGATGGACCCAGAACGGCCCGAGAAGCTCCCAGGATGGCCTTCAGAGGGCCCCAAGACGGCCCAAGAGGCCTCCAAAACGCCCACGATCGTCCCAAAAGGGCCCCAAGACGGCCCATAAAAGGCTCCTAAGACGGCTTCCGACAGTGTGAGACGGGCCAGGAACGCTGTAAGGCTGCCAAAGTGCCCCCCAAGAAGCCCACAAAAGACCTCAAGAGACCCAAGGAGGCCTCCAAGAGGCCTCTGAGAGGCCCCCAGAAGGCTCCAAGGAGACCCCAAGAATGACCCATCAAGCTCCCAAGAGGTCTCTTCATCCTTCTCCTCATCCTCCTGTTTCCTCGCTCTCCTCATCCTCCCCTTCCTTCCCCACGTGTTCCTCGAAGGGCTTCCACAACGGCTGGTGGAACGCATGGTCCAATAGTGTGACCAAATATTGGCCAAACGTCTGGCCACATAGGCGTATCCTAAAATGCAGGGGGCGGCGGTGATTCGCTGTAAGCGTCTTCGATCCGCCGCCCCATGGTGATTCATCACATGGGTTTCTGGCATGCTGAATTTCTGATGGGTTTTAGTTCGTTTCTCAAGGACCCCTAATAGGCTTCGGCCCAAACTGCCGGCCACCTGGAACATCGGGTTGTCGTGGCTTTTCCCGCCCACGACGGCCCCAGGATGGTCTCCAAAATGGCCAAGTTGGCCCAAGATGGCCTCGACGGTTGCCCGTGATGGTCCCAGATGATTTCCAAGAAAACTAAGAGGGTCCAAGACGCCTCCACGTCCGCCCAAGAAGTCATCAAGACGGCGAAGTATGTCCTCCGGACGGCACAAGAAGCCCCTCAGACGCCCAGAGAGAGCTCCAAGAGGACCTCTGGCAGGCCAAAAACATGCATATGGTTAGTCAATGATTTAAGCGTTCCCACGTTTCGGGGCATCCGACGCTCCAAGACGGGCCCATAGGTCGTCAAGACGGCTCAAGAGGCCACAAAGAGGCCCGCAAGAAGGCCCAAGAGGGCCCCAAGCCAGCCCAAAAGCCCCCCAAGACGGCCCCAGAGACCTCCGAGACGGCCCTCAAGCGCCAAAAGAGGGACCCATGACTGCCCAGGGAGGGCTCAAGACTGCATCTGAAGGCCAAGATGCCCCTCAGACGCCCCGAGAGGGCTCGAAGGGGACCTGCAGGAGGCCAACATCCTGCGTTCCCTCAGGTTGCTCAATGAGTTTAGCGTTCTGGCCTTTCGGACACCCAACGCTCCAAGATGGGCCCATAGGCCTTCAAAATCTGCTAAAGATGACCCAAGCTGCCCCCAAGAGGCCCGCAAGACGGCCCAAAAAGGCCCCAAGGCAGCCCAAGAGCGCCCCAAGACGGCCCCAGAGACCTCCGAGACGGCCCTGACGCACCCAAAGAGGGATCCACACGACTGCACAGGGAGGGCTCAAAACGGCCTCTGAAGGCTAAGAGGCCCCTCAGACGCCCCAAGAGGGCTCCAAGACGATCCCTTGGAGGCCAAAATCATTGATTACCCTTGGGTGTTTCACTGAGTTCAGTATTCTCGCGTTTTCAGGCATCCGACGCTCCAAGACGAGCCCATATGCCCCATATATCGCCCCAAGATGGCCCAAAATGCCATCAAGAGGCTCGCGAGACAGCCCAAGAGCCGCCCAAGACGGCCCATGAATCTGGCCCAAAGACGGCTTCTGACGGCCAACTGGTCCCATAGAGGCCCCCCAAGGTCCCTGAGAGGTCCCCAAACGGCTCCAGGATAACTCCGAGAGGCCCCATGAGGCCCCCCAGAGGCCCCTTAGAGGCCCCTAAAAGGCTCCCAGGAAGCCCCCCGGAGGCCTCAAGAGGGCCTCAAGAGGCCCTCTCTTGATCTTCCTCCTCCGTCCCCTCTCTCTCCTCCTCCTTTTCCTCTCCCCAGTTTCCCCACAAGGTGGTTCACAACGGCTGCACATAGTCCAATGGCTTGATCAGATTTGGGCGCCACGATTGGCACATGGGCGTTTCCAACAAAGCAAGGGGCGGCGGCGACTCGCCGTAGGCGTCTTAGACCCGCCACACCCTGTTGACACATCAACGGGGTGCCTGGTGCACGATTTCCCCCGGGGCCGTAGGCGACCCGAGGAGGAGGAAGAGGAGGAGAAGGAAGGAAGAGAAGGAGAAGGAGGAGGAGGAGGAGGAGGAGGAGGAGGAGGAGGAGGAGGAGGACGGGTCGCCTAAGCCCTTCGGAGAAACCCTCCAGTGCCTGGCGTGCCAAACTCTCCATCCATTTAGACGTTTGTTTGAAGCGTTCCCAGTGGGGTCTTGGCTGATCTCGCCAGCCGCCCGGAAAGGTGCCCAACAGGTGGGAAGCAAGACCCCTGACGCCTCCAAGACGACCCTCATGGCCCCAAATGATCTTCAAGACGGCCAAGATGATCCGAGATTGCCTCCATGACGATCACAAGACGCCTCCAAGGCAGCCAAGATGACCCCACGACGGCCCAAGATGCCCTCCAGACTGCCCAAGAGGCCCCCAAGGAAGCTCCAGGAGAACCTCCAGGAGGCCGAACTCATTGAGTGTAATATTGAGTGTGATGTTGTTGTTGCTGCTGTTGTTGTTGTTGTTGTTGGTGTTGTTGTTGTTGTTGTTGTTGTTGTTGTTGTTGTTCAACTGTTTTAGCGTTCTCGCCATTTCGGGCTTCCGACGCTCGAAGAAGGCCAAGACCCAAGACGGCCCAAGGTGCTCCCAAGAGGCCCGGAAGACGGCAACGACGACGGCGTCGGCGACGACCACCACCACGACCAAGGCGGGGACCACGATAACGACCACGAGCACGACTACGACTGCGGCACGGCGAGAACCACATATTGAAAACGATTTCACACTTCATACCCATCCGTGCAACTGGTGGAAGCTTGAAAAGTGCGCTGCGCAACGGCGAGAATCGCTATGTAACTGAAACCAGTCGCACTCCACCCGACGGGATTGAAAAAAACATATCCTCGGATATCGGGATGGTTACTGGGGAGGTGAATGGAGGTGGGCGGCGACGACGGCGACGACCACCACCACCACCACCACAGACGTGACGACTTGACTGCCCCGATACGCGACTCGCAACACGTAGCGTGTTGACACGGAGCTCGACACGTAGACTGAAAGCGTAGGTCTGACACGATACGTGGGCCAATACGTTAAGCCAACACTCTGAACACGAACGTGCTGTGTTTCAAAGACTGGCGCATTGAGGCAGCTAACGTGACGACACTCGGAGAAGACGCAAATGCATAAACATGAGCTTCTGGAGCTCCGCAAGGATTCTTGGAATCTGCGCTGGGCCCCCCTCCCCAACGCGCGGAGCGAGCCAGGGGCGGGGCTGGAGGTACCACCAGGGGGGCCACGCGCCGTCCGAAGAAATCTGCGCGGAACTTTGACCACCTATGCTAACGGAATTGATGTTTTGATTTTGCCCGAAACGGATACAGTCGGACCTAGAGCATAATAACATCCTTCAAGCACATGAAACTCTCCGCCGACCAAACTGAGTAGCATCCGAGGGTACCCTCCTCCAGTATGCACAAGAACATCCAGCAAACACGAAGAACATGAGGGTCACCTCCCCGAACCGACCTTGATCTGATACCCCGGTCCAACTGTATGGAAAAATGGGCACGGTGCCCCAAGGCGGTTCCCCTCTAAAGCCACCAGCGGCCGCGGTTGGGCTGGCGACCTTGTGACTCAGATGGACAGCGTTAGCGGCGACGCCGACAACAGGACCTGATCAACGTGGGCACGAACTGCTTTCGGTCTTCATCCCTGATGTTTCTGTGCCAATGTTGGTCGTGCACGCCGGTCGGAAGAAGTAGGTGGAAACATGAAGTAGGACAGCGGATGGAAAACATCGGGTTCGGGCCCGCCCAAAGAGCAGCAACAAACAGCAAACACATGTCGATTATTGAGATAGGTCGGCGCTTGAAGTAGATTGGGATCTGGATATATCATAGCTTTTATTTTCAACGACTGGCACGTACCGATCCTTCGTCGAAGCATCCTGCGTCGCCAAGGTCTCGACCGGCGCCCGAGCATCACCCGCCGTCTCGCTCTGCTCGGCGCGTTGCTGGGCGGGGGCCTCCTTCGCAGCGGGGGGCCGCCAGAAAACGAGGAGACGGACGGGCCGTCTCCTTCTCGCGCAGACCCTTCGATGACGGACCAACCCGGGGAACGCAAACTGGGGCCCGTCAGGCCTTGCAGTGTCCTGCACCATCCTGCACGATCCTGCACGCTCCTGCACGCTGGCCCGGGTCAGCGCAGCCCTGGCTCTGCAGGATCCTGCACAGATCAGCCGCCCTGGCTGACCCTCGGGCTGGGCAAAGAGGGGGGGTTTGAGAATCAGCTCACGGAGCTGACTTTCCCAGCGCCTCCCGGCGCCGGGAGGCGGCCATGCATCGAGGAATGGGCCCCTCGGCGGGGCCGAAACCAGCTGCATGCAGCAGGTTTCGTACCCCCCCCTTTCCCAATCCCCCCTTTCGTTCGGCCCGAGGCCCCCGTCCCCAGGCCCCCGACGTCATGATTTTTTCATTGCGCGACCCCCCGAAGGTTCAGACCCACTCCCGGGGACCTGTTTCTCATCCTGATTCGTTTTTTGACGGTCCCGAGGCCCGGTGAGGTCCCCCAGAGGCCGAACATAAGGAAGCACCTCCCGTCGTGATTTTCTCATGGCTCGAGGGGGTCTGGGTCTGCATTGATGAAGGGGAACTGGAACACACAAATAAATACACACAAATAAAAATATCCCCCATATTTTCCAATATTTTCTTGGTTTTCGTCTTCCCCCCCACTTCCCATATTTTCCCATATTTTCCTGGGGATCACCGATTAATTGTGTCTGTGTGTTTTTTCTCCTCCTGAATTGACCCCCGTCCCTGGAGCCCCGAACTTCCCGCCGGCCTCCGCCGGCGGAGCCGCCGCCGCGTGGCTCCCGCGGGCCGTCTGCCAGCCCCCCCCCCCCCCGCCGGCGGAGAGCCGCCGCCGTGCTCTGCTCCCGCCAGCCTCTCCGCCGGAGGCGAGGGCTCGCCAGAGGCGGGGCCCTCTCCCGGAGCGCTAGAGGGAAAAGAACTATGCACATGCACCGATTCTGGCCAGGCCCATCCTGAGCCCAGGATCGGTGCATACGCCCTCCTACCTTGGCCAGGAAGGCATATGCACCGATCCTGGGTCAAAAATGGGCATTGCCAGGATCGGTGCATGTGCATAGTTCTCTTCGCCCGAAGCGCGACACGTGTTCTGGAGCAGCACGGCGCAGGAGCTGCGCAATTCGAAAGCCGGGCGAGGGCTGCTGAAACCGTGGCTGCTAAAACGGCCCTCCCGGAGGGAGAGAACAGCTTCCCGGAAGGACGAAGACTCCTTCCCAGAGGTCGATTTTAGCAGCCACGGATTTAGCAGCCCTTGCCCCGCTTCGGAGCAATCACAGCTTGGGAGCTCTGTGGTCTCATGTCGGCTCCGCGCAAGAGTGACCCTAGGCAAGGGTGACCTCCAGTGCGCGGGTTGCGGGGGCGCAAGGTGGCCAAGTCCAAGCGCGCAATCGGCCACTATCGCATCGCGCTCTGCGATCGGGGGACCCTGCAGGGAGCCCGCACCAAGAGGTCACGCTGGCGACGGGGCACCCTAACGTCTAGTCGACTGGTCTCCTCCGTGCTGGCGCCCGGCCCTCCTCGTCCTAGGCGATCGGCTCCAATGCGACGTGCAGCCGTTGTGTATGCGAAGGCACGCTTACTGGCACACGCGACGACAACGAACAAGAAGAGGAACAACAGGAAAGAGAAGAAGCGAATCCCCGCATGGTTGACCTCAGCACCACCAGGTTAGAGCCCCTCAGAGCTCCCTGGCGCCGACCTTGAAGCGGGACGCTCGCGAGGTTGACCACCCCGCCAGCCAGTCACCCTCACGCCTTACGCGTTACAGTGTGTTGCAGGCGGTGGACAAAGAACCCGTAGATAAGGAATCCCGGGTGTGGAACCCGGTGGAACTCGAATCGCGGATCGGCCATAGATATCACCGCCGCCCTATCCTTGGAGGCCTGGAAATGAGCATTCACACCAACACAAGGGGCTGCCTCCCCAGGGGGAGATGATCCTAGATTTCGGCGTTGGTGGTAATATTTCGGCCACCTCGGCATCCAGAACATGACCACCATCGCCGAGATCGGGCTCTTCTTCCCTCGGTGGAGGCACACCTCGACGTTTTTGGTGTTGGTGTTAACCTCTAGGCCTGCGCTCCACGAGTGGGTCTCACTACACCTGCACCTAAGTCGGGCATGTCCCTCGACAGGGGGGATATTGAAAACTAGTCAGAAAATCGTGTGGGGACGATGTTTGTTCGACTATCCTTGATCATTTTGGGGTATGTTTTGACTATTTGTTTCATTTCTCATCCAAAATCGGCCTGTAGGGGGACACGCCCTATCTGAACCTACACCTACGGAGCGGCACGAGAGCCAGTGCCACTCCTGAGCCTAAATTGGTCCTTCTGTCAGCGTCTTGGCCGTCTGCGTTGCCGCCATCAGCATGACTTCAGCATATGGAGGAAGCGAGTCGTGGAGCATCTTCGCCGCTCTGGAGCCCCATGCAGCCCCGCGGGCCCTGGGACCGTCGAACAGCTGACTACTCGGGATGAGGCCTCGGCCCTGGGGAGAGCCCCCAAGCTGGGACCCACCTCACCCTTCAGCAGGGCAAGTCGTAGGCTTGCCGTGAGGTCCGGAGCTTCGTGCTGGAGCTCCAAGAACGCATACTCGCGGTCTTGCCCTGGAGTCTTCACAGGCTCTCCATCCGAGTTTCGTCAACATAATGCTCCGAGGGCAACAGCGAAGAGCTCTATCACTTCCTCGGCGGGCATTTGCTTGACGGGTTACCACAAGTCCCAGTTACCCAGGAAGGTCTGTAGTGCCCAAGCCATGGGGAGTAACTAATTAGTTTTTTTCCGGCGGCCTTATTGAAGGACTGGGATCTCACCCCCCCAGGGAGGCCCCGCAAGAGCGAACGGAGTATCGTTATACCATGAAGCACTCCGTGCACACGTACACTCCGAAAAATACCGTTCGCTCCTCTTCCTGCTCCTCCTTTATGTTGCGACCTGCCGGGGGAAGTTTATTATCCCGCCAGATCCCCGAACTTGATTATCCCCACCCTGTGATCATTGGGGGCATAGGTTTAGGACTCGTCCAAAATCCTCCTCCTCCTGCTCCTCCTCCTCCTCCTCCTTCCCTCCTCATCCTCCTCCTCTTCCAGGGTGCTGCGGGAAAAATAATTACAGTAGTTAGCCCCTGTTGGTGGGGGAGGATTCAGAATCCTGAGAAATCCTCAACTCGCGAACTCGGCGAATGACAATGATAATGATGACCTTGATGATGATGCTGCTGCTGATGATGCGGGTGATGATGATGATGATGATGATGATGATGATGATGATGATGATGGTGATGATGATGATGATGATGATGATGATGATGGTGATGATGGTGGTGGTGGTGGAGATGATGATGGCGATTATGATGATGATGCTGATGCTGATGATGCTGATGTTGATGTTGATGTGGATGATGGTGATGATGAGGATGGCGGTGATGATGACTGCGATGATGATAATGACGATGCTGATGCTGATGGTGATGCTGATGACGATGGTGATGATGGTGATGACGACGATGATGATGATGATGATGATGCTGATGATGATGCCGATGATGATAGCCATGATGAGGATATTCGGTCTACGATGCATTTTCCTCCCGCGATAATGAAGTTCGGCCCCGCCGCAACCCAACGATGACCAATACTGTCTTGGCCGAGGATGAAGATCGTGGGAAGGGGGGTGTACAATTGGTGATCCAGGGCATGCGGTTATTCACCGACGAGAGATAAACTGGGGGGAGGACCAAAACGAATGACCTTTAGCGGCTACTAGGCTTCGCGTTGACCTGAGCATCTCCTCCTGCCTCTACCCCTCCCTGCTTCGAGGGTGCACGCTAAACACCACGGGGGGAGGAGGCAGTCAACGAGGGGGCAACCATGCGAAATGGAGTGCGCGAGTGCGGCGGCTCTTCTGTCACGGTCCCCAAACTGCCGCCCGGCACACCAAACATGATGGATCGGAATCCAGATCGGAACCCAAAATCGAATCGGAATCGGAATCGGAAGCAATCGAATCGAATCGAATCGGAGTCGAAATGAGCCCTGACTGCCCCACTCAGCAGCGACGACTACGGCCTGGCAGAGGCGGTGACGACAGCGAGCACGACGACGGCTGCAGTCACCTGGCGACGCGCACGATGGGCGGGCGCGAGGCGGGCGGCCTTTTGAGATGGCCGCGGCGCTCCCAAGAAGGCAGGTGGCTCCATAGAAGCCCTCCCGGCTTACAGCGGCGGCGCGCACAGGGGGGCAGGGGGAGGGGGGAAGGTTTCTTAGGAGGAGGCCGCTGCTTAGAAGGCGCCAGCCTTACACAGACATCTGCAGAGAAGGCCCGCGCCTTCGAAGAAGCAGGGGTGCTTCTGAGAAGCCTTCCTCTCTCCCCATACCCCTCTCTGCGCGTGCCCGATTCAAAGAGGCCCTTTCAGAAGCATCCAGTTGCCTCTGACATGTCACGTAGCCTCGTCTCTATCAGTGTGGGCGCAAGGACCGAATATGTGCCCGAAAGTCTGCCCGAGACGAGAGTGACCGAAACTGGCGCCCAAATTATTCCGAACGCGCCAGAGTGTGACCAACGTTCTTAGTCCGAAACCACAGCGTTTCGGCCACACTTCGGCACGCACGCACGCACGCACGCACCCGCACGCACCAGCACGCACGCACCCGCACGCACCCACACGCACGCACCCGCACGCACGCACCCGCACGCACGCACGCACGCACACACACACACGCACACACACGCACACACACACACACACGCACACACACGCACGCACGCACGCACGCACGCACGCACGCACGCACGCACGCACGCACGCACGCACGCACGC